AAGGCCCTACACATGCTGAGGCATTTGCTGCATTCGAAACTGTCATGGCATGGTGTGAACGACAGAGTGAGTGTTGTTCAACGCAACTTCTGCTTCTGAAAAGGATGAGGGACTTGGCAGCGAAGAAAAGAATTTCAAATTTGAAACAACGGAAAATTGATGGTTACTCTACATAATACATTGTACAATAAAGCACCATACGTGTATAAGGTAAGAATATATTGTATTCTATGCACTAACTTCTTTAACGCAACCTTTCCGTGGGAGTGTTCGGTTATCCGAAAAAATAGGTTATCCGAACCACCCCCGGTCCCAATTAGTTCGGATAATCGGCGTTCTACTGTACTTACGGAAGGGAATATATAGATTCTCGCAGATGGGAGATCCGTAGGAATTCTGAAGTGGTAGAGAATTCTTACTCCGAACGTTGAAATATTAGTACTTTTCTACTCAAAAGTTTTTCCACCTCGACTAGCCCTTTGTCACGGTTTTCAATTGCTGTAGCCCTGTTTGTTCCCCTTTGAAATCTCCTTTTCATGCACTCCTCTTTTCTTGCAATTCAAAACTATGAAATTGGCAAGGTCGTTGCGAGTATTGCCATTACACAACCTTACTCTGCATGTTTTCCCCCTCTCCACCTTCCAGCCCGTCCACCCCGTGGAAAATGTCGGGAGTTTTTCAGGATATCTGGGATCTTCATTTTATATCTTTATTCTAGCACCTGGCATCTGGCAACCCTGTTGTCGATGTCCGCTTGGATACACGTTCAGTTTATTTTTCCACGTGCTTCCTCTTACGATCTCGCCATGTAGCAACTATGTAGAGGATCTATTTTGCCTATTATTAGGCCTAACTCTCATTCTATTACTTCTATGATGGTTTGAAACTGGTCATAAACCTAAAGCAAAGGCTTGTTAACATTAAATTGCCTTAAGGTTTGACAGGTGGCGCCTTGTGTAATGCTAACCATGAGCAGCACCCCCAAACTTTGAATCTCGTTTTCGAAGTTCACGGTTTGGGTGGGGACATCAGGAGGCATGAAAGCCCACATACCGTCTTTATCATTTTAGCAGCCTGTCTCTTCACCCTCTTCAGTGCCATAAAATCCTCTTTGCAGGCCTCCAAAACTGAACACAATACTTTATACTTTGAATGGGGTCTTACTGGTGCTGCATACTAGGAGTTTAGTGCACCTCTTGTTTGCAATTAAGTGCCAGAGGAAGTCTACAATCCTGCTGTATTTAGCTACCATTGCCTGCATGTTTTTTTTTTTTTTACTTTGGCCTAGGTCTGTCATAACCAAAATCATGAAGTATTACATGCATCATTTCATGAGAATTTATCCTTTGATTGGTACTCTTGCTATTTCAGCATTGATAACTCTTGCATACTAATTCCATTGTTGGGACCAAATAAGACCTGATGATGGTTGATCAGCCATCTTAGTTTTGGTTGTCAATGCATGGCATGTAGATAAACTTCTGGTACATGGTTTAGCACAATGTGTACATGTTAGTGACTTCTACTCTAAGCCTAACAATGGCTCACAGTTTGCTTGGATTCATTTGGATTCATTTCCCCTTGACTAGCCTGAGTGTATTTTAGGAGTCTCTTCAAACTTAGAGATGTTAAAATTAACTGAGACATTGACTGATGATAGAACTGTGTAATATTAAGACAAGGCAGGTTAGGCTAGGTTTTGTTATGCTATACATGGACTGATTTTGGTTGGTACAGTCATGCCAAGGGAATATGATAAAACAATTGAAAAAATAACTGAAATTAATGACAGATATGAGTTTCTTCATGATCATTAATTTCACTCTGTTTCATTGTCTTGCACAGGTCTGAGTTGAGAAAGGAAATTTCTTGAAACAACTCCTACATTATAAAAATAATGAAGAACCTGTTTGATGCCCTGAAGTACCAGATCCTTGTTGGGTTCTATCCAGCATGTCTAACGTTGGCATACCTGGCAGTAACCATCAAGTTGTTGTGCTGCTGCCAGAGGCCTTCAACAAAGAAAATTCGCTTTCAAGAAGCATTTGTGTCAGAATTTGAGACATAAATAAATTAACACAAAGGTGATGTCATCTAAGCTCTTTATTAATGATATGCTACTATCACATTATTGGCATTCTAATGTATATTGTTAACAGATGACAAGAACTACCACAGTTGGAAAATCTTACTGATGGAATTAATGTCTGCCTAACATGTGTAATAGATATATATTTTCATTCTTATTTCAATAACCACTTTTCTCACTTTCTTCAATCCATACATGATGCCTGGATTTTGAAGCATAAAAATTGTGTAATTAGACTGACCAGAAAGGATGCCTGGAGAAAGTGAAGGTATGCAGTTGGTCTTCCATGGTCTTGTCTTTTAATTGGCCCCTTGACATAGGGAAGTCCAAAAGTGATGATGCTCATTTTCTTCCTCTTACAGAGAATGAAATCACCATGGGATTGGGATTCCCATCCAGTGGAGTTGAAGCCACGAGATGGAGGCTTACAGGGCTGGATTGTCTGCTTTGCCAGCTTCCTCTGCAATGGAATCATCTTTGGCCTGATGAACTCCTATGGGGTCATATATGTGCAGCTCAAGGAGACCCTGGAGGCTGAGCAAGTCAACAATGCTTCTGCTGAGGCCTGTGAGTTTAGGAAGGTCATTTGATGGCAGTGGTGGAACCTTGGTACAAATATGCAAATTAGCCTGAATTGGGGCATCAGGAGAATGATTTTCTTAACCCCTGTGTGAAACCATGTATTGGTTGTTAAGGTATCTCTAATGATGTAACAATAGGAAAGGTAAAATTTGTGTAAAAACTTGATGGATGATACTTGAGGAATTCTATTGCATGGCTGAATATGATCCTGCTATGTTAGGATGGACATGTGTTAGCTGTTCAGAATCTGCAACACTCACTAGAGAGTTAAGAGCCGATTAATAAATCCATGGGATGAAAGTACTGCTCCATGGAGTTATCATAGTAATTTTTAAAATGTTATTGTTTCTTTGATTCACTAGTCAACCTGTCAGCTTGCCTACCTATGAACTTGTTGACTTTTTCCTCCTTCTTGCTTGTCAATCCAATTATTCACATTATTGCATTCTGTTCAGATCAGTATGATTTTTTGTATTCTGAAGGCTTATTAGTGGCTAAAAAAAAAAGATAATTTCATATCCAAAGGTTACCTTTAGAAAACAAAGTGAGTGTTGGAGAAACTGTGAGTGGTATGGATCCTCCCATCTTTCCTCAGTGGCTATGTCAAGATTCTTGTGATAGTTATCACATTTCATATTCTGAATCAGAGGAGAGAGCTACCCTATGATGTAAAATTCATCATCATAGCAACAGAGTTGTGAGTGATAATGGAAAAGAAAATGGCTATATGCACATCAGAAGCTTAGAGCAGTGCTGAATTTTTTTAGAATTGGATAATTGAGGTGCACTTTGATCATTGAGTTTCTTACTAGTCTTTTATTCTCATTCTCATTGAGCCCTCATGATTTATGGACTATTATTGTCTAAAATGAAGTGTTATAAATTGAGTGCAAGAGTACAACACAGATGCCACTACTTTCTTAGGTGTTGGTCTTGAGATTTTAGGAAGTGACTTTATTATTATCTCATATATAAAATCCTTTGTTCATTTCTTCACTGATCATCTCTTTCCTAGCTTTGGTGGGCTCAATGGCAATAGGAACCACCTTCATGACTTCTGTGGCTGCTGGGATCTTGAGTGACTGGTGGGATCTGAGGAAGACAGCCATAGCAGGAGCCATCATTGCCTCTCTTGGCATGTTTCTGAGCTCCTTTGTGTATCGAAAAGTGAGTATTTCTAACCTCCCATATTTAACTCTCATCTCTGAATTCTCGATGTGCACATGTGGTAGTAGAGTCTCTAAGATTTTTTGTAACTCAAGTCCCTCAGCCTTAGTGGCATTCCTCTTTTGGTATCACAATGCTACACCAAAAAATTAACTCAAGCCAGCAGACTGGCTTTGTCATGCCTCTTGATTAAATTCATTGTTTTACCCATTAGCCTATTTTTAACTTTCATTCTTTAACAGGAAGTATTTTACTTGTTCAATTATTAGATTTAAGACTAAGCTCATCACACGACTTGGTCAGGTATAGGTTATCACGTGAGCATTTGTTCTTTTAACTGTTACAATTTTTTCCTGCCCAACACTTGACTTCAGCATGGAAGTTTGATGCTTGTCATATTGTACTCCCAGGTGGGCTTCCTGTGCACAACTTATGGCTTATTGTTTGGAGTGGGGTCATCTCTGGTGTACACTCCCTCACTGGTGATCCTGAATCATTATTTCTCTCGTCGACGGGGAATGGTAAACGGGCTGGTGTCTGCAGGGAGCTCTGTTTTTACCATCTTGATGCCTTTTCTCCTGGGAAATGCCATCAGTGGCCTAGGATTAGCCAATACCTTCCGCCTCCTTTCTGGCTTCACCCTCATCATGGTGCTGTGCAGCACATTCTTTCGGCCACAACTTGGACGGTGCAGATCAATGCAGGAAGATGCCAGAGGACTGAGGATGTGGTTCCGCACTGGAATATGGCGTGATGTACGCTTCATCATCTGGATTGTTTCCATGCCCTTGGGACTTTTGGGATATTTTGTTCCCTATGTTCATCTGGTACAATCTGGATTTGTGTTTGGGTGAACTCCAATGGCATTCAAGATCCTTCTACTGCACCAAACCTGATATACCATGCTCTCCTTTACCCAGGTTCAGTATGTGAAGGACACAATCCCTGATGCAGATGGGAAATGGCTGATGCTTTGCATTGGCATCACCTCTGGGATGGGCAAGATTGTCTTTGGCAAGATCTCTGACATCCCCTGGGTCAATCGTGTCATCCTTCAACAGGTCCTTTTCCCACAATTTTATGAGAAACTGCTTTTGTACTGAAATCTGTAATTGTTGGTCAACTACCTGGTGATCAGCTTAAACCTGACACATTTTTATTTCAAATATCCCACCAAAGCTTGATCACAAATTATTCATCTTTGGTCAATTAGAAAGCAGCAACACTGCACTTTTGTTCAAGATTATACATTGGGATATTCAACTCCACTCTGCAATTGTAGAGTTTTACTTTGCTACCAAGAGCGTGATCCAGGCTCAGTGCATTTTCAATCAAAATTTTGGTGTGAACTTGTACAAAGAGAATTTTCATGAGAATGGTGGTCTTGACATTTTTTCTTGCAGGGGTACATGAAGTCAAAAGTATGCAGAAATAATCCTCACCCTTTATGGCAAACTTTTGTGAGGTAATCAGAAACATTGGCAGTAACCTGTGTAAATGAATGATTCATAGCATAAGGAAATGGGTTCTGGACTGTATTGCAAATAATGGAGGTCATCTGCCCACAATCATCTTTCATAAGTGTTGAATAGATAGAGAAAAACTTGAAATGACTAAGTATATTTAGGTTCTTGAAAATAATTCAAATTTGTAACTGCTATAGATTTGTTTTAGAATGAAATGTGTCAGATTTAAGCTGCTTACCCTGTATATGCTGAGAATTTTTGGAACGATAACTGCTGTGGGCTAAAAGTGTCTGAATCCTCAAAAGTAAAAGGAAATGTTTCTCATCTTTATACAGTCGACTCCCGTTATAACGAACACGGATATAGCGAAAACCTGGTTATAACGAAATCCTAGCCTTTGCCTGGTCGAATGCCCATAGACGCCCATATGAAAAAATTCTGATATAACGAAATCGGTTATAGTGAAATTTCGGCTATAACGAAAGACTTCTCGTGTCCCCATTAAGAAGGGGCATCAGATATAACGAACTTTTCCTTCGAAGTGAGTGAGGGATTATTTTTTTTAATGCTTTCTTTCTCTCTTTTTTTTCGCCTGGGAACGAAGGGTTCAAGTTCTTATCTTAATCCTTCACCCGTATCTGTCCCTCAACTATTAGTTATCACCCCCATCCATCCCACAGGGATTAGCCTATCGCGTTAAAAAGTCACCTCCCACAGCATCCCTGGTCTCCTAAAGTATAAATTGTGTCGAAGACTTTATGGGTCATTCTGTATTCCGAGTTTTGTTCGCTCGTTCGTCTGAGTTCACGGATTTGTGGTCAAAGTTCACGTGTTCACTCATCAGCGGCAGTGAAATGGCACATGTGGCCAAGAAGAGGAAGTGCATGTCTATTGAACTGAAAATAGACATTCTGAGAGAAGTCCAGGAAGGGAAACTGAAGAAGGGCGAGATTTCC